ATATATAATATAATATATAATATAATATATAATATAATATATAATATAATATATAATATAATATATAATATAATATATAATATAATATATAATATATAATATAATATAATATATAATATATAATATATAATATAATATAATATAATATATAATATAATATATAATATAATATATAATATAATATATAATATAATATATAATATAATATATAATATAATATATATAATATATATAATATATATAATATATATAAAACAATTTCAGTTTGAATGTCAAAGATAGGCAAGCTTAACTGATTACTGAATTCAATTTTGAACAGTAAGGTTACCTTCTTAAGGCTATACCCTATATATATTAAACTTGGATATCACATCAAGTACAGGGGCTAATAGAAAGGAATATAGATGAACCCCTGGCAATGAAAATCTTGCTAACATATTTATACATACCTCATTGTGCCACCTTTGCCTTGCAATAGCAAGAGTGGTTAATACAGTGCATGCATGAAGCATTGCACAAAGTAACAGTCAATTTCACTTTTGGCAAAGATCACATATATCATCTGTAATACAGCAGTGTATGACAGAACTTCTTGCAACTACAATATGGAGACTTCTCCCTGCATCTGATCAGGCCATTCATTTGCTTGCTCCAGTCATAATTGTTGTCATTTGAGTGAAACTCATTGCAACATATAGCACAACTTAAAATGTGCCTTAATATCAAACAAATTGTATACAAATTGTCCACCATGAGCATACTGTATAGTGAAAATGTTGACATATACAGTATTTGCTCTATGGCCAATAAACAAGTACATCATGAATTTAAACTGTACATTTTTGCACTTGTTACTTTTTAAAACAACACAATTGAAGCAGCTCAAATAAAACTTCATTTCTGATATGAATAAACAGTTTCAACTATATCATATGCTTCCAACAGGGTGGCTAAGCTTGTAAAGCTAATAAGATGTTCACTAGTTTACACAATCCCTCTTCCAATGTTTTGACCTTCTACTGTTCTGAAATATTGTGCGAGAGTATCCCGAACAATTGAGGCATCTGATTCATGCTGTCTATGTACAGCTTCATTTGGCAGGGGGATGATTTCAGGTTGGTCAATATTGTTGCACACTTCTAACCACTCTTGGAAAAAATCGTCTCTCCTAAGTTCACAAATGTTGTGAAGAATACATGATGCTGCTGCAAGCTAGGTAACTGATTGAACTACCATGTCAACTCGTTTGCTAAATCTTCTGAATCGACCCTTCCACATTCTGAAAGTGTTCTCCACAGTCATCCTAGCCCGACTCAGCCTATAATTGAAATGCCTTTGCCAGTTGGGAGTGTTGACATTTTCTGGATTATATTTGCATTGGGCTATTACATTTAATATCCGTACCCCCCCTGACGAGGACCTCCATATTTTACTGTTTGACCCCTCTGGAAACTACCGAAATACTGTCTCGACACCCCTTAGGAAAGATGTTTTGCCCCATCTGGAATAGTGTTTACCCCCCTCTGGAAATGAATTTTCGTCACTGTTGCCCCCCCTTTGGAAAAAAAACCTTCGACCCTATCCAGCCGAGTATTGTCTGCAACAGATTTTACAATGAAAGACAGTGAACAAGCCCCCTTTGGAAAACAATAACACCCCCTTGGAATTATGACTCTACCCCCCCCCAATGGAAAAGCAGCTAGCATAGTAAATATGCAACATGAGCTCCACCTTTGAATTTACTATATGAGTAAAATGCATGGTTAAACACGTCCGAATTTATCAATACAATAAATTCGCGACACATTAACAAAAAGTTTAAAAAAGTTAGATTTTCAAAAAAAGCTTAAAAAATAGTTAGATTGGGGTTAGGTGCCGCGAATTTATCATATTGCTAATAGATTTGGACATGTTTAACAATTTACTCATATTATACTGGTAAATTCAAAGGTGGAGCTCATGCTGTAAATATGACACACTTGGAATAACTCTAACCCTATAAATATAGATGAATAAGCAAAGCCTAAGGGTATACAGGGACAAAAAATTACCGAATAAAATCCAGCCTGCTTGCATGGAATAGCTCCTGTGCTATCCTGCCCGGGGGGGGGGGCAGGCTCCGAAATTTTATTGCCTAGGTAAAAGACACTCATTTTGATAGGCTTAACTATGATATCTTACTTAACTCACCTTATCTTATGATATCTAACTTAACTTTGATATCTATTGCTCACTTTCAAGGGAAATAAAGCCAGTGAAGTTAAAGCAAACTTCATCTCCATTTTGGAAAACGAAGTAGAAGAGATTAGCCAAAGTCAAGACGAATTCCAATATAGCAGTGATTTACATAAAGATTCAATGAAAACTAATGGCCCGTCCACAAACTATCCCACGTGTGACTCGACGTGCAGTAATTTAAAACAATATCTATTGATAAACGATCTCATGAGTAAATTCATGCAAAGAATAGACGACAAGGTCGAGGGGATTATGCAAGAAGTAAACAATCTGAAGGCCAATACAAGTCAACAAGAACGAATTGATCTGATCAACAACCTCAAACGGGAAATCGACAAACTTAAAAATAAAAAACTTAGAATTACGCCAAAGAAATGCGACTATATCGTACGCTATGGCAGACTTGCAAGCTAAAGTTAAAGACACGGAGAACGAAAAAAAACAGCCTACTGAATTACGGCAATTAAGCTGGTTCAACTCGATCAATCCAAACCTAGCGGAACCAAAAATCAAGTTGACACCTGGAATGTTGTTCCAAATAAGAAACCAAACGCTAGCAAGGATACCCACAAAACGGCCGCCGGTATCGCAGATGTTAACAGATATGAAGTCCTTAGTGACTGCGATGTAGAGCCAACAGAAGGACAACGCCCACCTCATGTCAGACCGATCACGACCCACAAGAATCCCGACAATAAAGAATCAACTTTTGACAAAAACTCTTATTACCGATTCTCCACCCCAGAATAGCTATTTCAAGTCCATGACATGCGAAGGACCCATAACAATCTTAGGGGATTCCATGATAAAGATGATTAAACCACCTAAACTGAGTCGATCAATAGGCGAAAAAGTCAACATCAAAACATTTCCTGGAGCAACAATTAACAACATGAACCACTACATACAACCCACAATGAAGAAGCAACCCAAACTGGTGATTCTACATGTAGGAACTAATGACATTCAACGTAAAGAACCTGACGAAATTGTACCCAAAGTTTGTCAAAAATAGCTATTTCCGAAATAATTAAGAGACAGGACCGGTTATCAACATTAAGATAGATAAAACTAATTCGTTACTAGCTAAGCTCTGTAGTAAATTCAAGTGGCAGTTTATTCGGCATACTAACATAGATGCTTCTAAATTAAATGCATGTGGATTACATTTGAATAGCCAAGGAACGGCAATGTTAGCAAAGAACTTGATCGAATCTCTCAAGAATTGACTAAATGAACTCCAATCTATCGATATTGACGATATTGACTATTTTTACAAAGTTATAAAATCAATTAACGTAGGTGGTAACACGAACAATATTGAATTAAGCACAATGTGCGAAACTACAAAGTCAACCCTATGATATGCTATGAGCACCATTCAAATTTAAATTATATTGACAATCAACAAGACCGGTTAGTTAGTTCTGACTATCCGAGGCTTCAAAATAGCTTCTTTTAACATAACAAGTCTACCAAAACACATTGACGAACTTCGGATTTGCATGGATGATAAAGAAATAGATGTTCTTGCCATTAACGAAACACAAATGGACGATAGTGTGCCAATCGAGTCAATAGCCATTCAAGGTTACAATCGGACCTCCAAAAACAGAAATAGATCTGGGGGTGGTATCGGTTTTTTTATTAGAGATTCAATAAATTTTCGACCTCGAACTGACTTGAATAATCTTGATATTGAAATTCTTACAATACAAAATTAGTAAACATAACGTTAAACCGTTCTTAATTACAACGTGGTATCGACCACCAAACGATCCCGTTGACACCCTTTATAGATTTGAGAACTGTTTACAACTAATAGAAAATGACAATAAAGAAAGCATTATTCTAGGAGATGTAAATTATGACTTCTTATTTATTACAGGACTGTATCAATATGAACTAAAGAGTTACTAAAAATACTCAGGCATTAATTCATCACTTTTATACAACAAATACTGATAATATTATTTCAAAGGGAGTGTCAACTGTTTCCATAAGTGATCACTATCTTATTTATGGCATCAGAAAGTTTAAGGTCTGCAAAGAAAATGCAAAAATAATCGAATACCGCGACTACAAACATTTCAACGAACAAATATTCTTGCGCGACCTACAAAATTACTTATCCGATTTTGACCTGGATCAACACGATCCAAATATATCTTGGGAGATTTGGAAGAATGAATTCTTCAGAATCTGGTACAACCATGCCCCAGTAAAAAGACTGAAAGTCGGCACTAAGCGGCTACCTTGGCTAACAACAGACCTAATTCACAATATAAACGACATATTAATTTCCTACATAGGAAAGCTAGAACAACCAACACAACTGATGCCTGGTCTGTCTACAGAAAGGCAAAAAAACAATACAATAGGCAAATAAAAAATACAAAGTGCTCCTATTATCGAGGCAAACTACATAGCAATTCAGGAAATTTAAAACAAACATGGAAAACACTCAACGAATTGATGAATAGAAAGTCAACTAATAATAAAATCCCAGAAATGAAAGATAAGAATGGTGAAGTAATTGACGAAACGCTGATCCCTAATGCCTTTAATAAATACTCTGTTGAACTAGAGGAAACTTGCAAAATTCCTCGATTGAATATTTTACCAGATAGTTTTCTAAGTGATGTACACCATCCAGTTAATGGGCTCCCTAGCTTTCAAGAAATTTCAGAAAATGATGTTTTGAAACTACTTCATGGTTTAGGGCCCAATAAGGCATCGGGAATCGACGGTATCTCCTCTCATATCTTAAAACTTTCGGTAGCAGTTATTTCACCATCCCTAACATCAATATTCAACAAGTCAATCTTAACAGGCATATTTTCCAATAATTGGAAAATTGCTAGAATCACTCCAATCTTTAAGTCTGAAGCTAAAGATGAAATGATAAACTACAGACCAATATCCGTCATATCAGTAGTTGCCAAAATTTGGGAAAAGCTGATTTATAACCAAATCTATAATTATTTACATAACTATAATCTGCTTTCAAACTCCCAACACGGTTTAAACCACTTCACTCAACTGTTACAGCATTACTGGACATAACCAACGAGTGGTATACAAATATTGACATTGGGAAACTAAATGGGGTTGTGTTTCTGGATCTGAAGAAAGCATTCGATACTGTCAACCACAATATACTCTTAAACAAAATAGCAACTTATGGAATAAAGGGAACGGCACATCACTGGCTGGAGTCGTATCTATCAAATAGAACTCAGTGCTGTTGTGTGAATGGCAAACTATCAAGTCCACAATTATGAAAACAGGCATACCTCAGGGTTCTGGTTTAGGCCCATTGTTATTTTTAATTTACATCAATGATTTACCAAAATGTCTAAACGTCTGGACAAAACCAGATATGTTTGCGGATGATATCCAAATTGCAACATCAAGTAACGATATCAAAGTAATCACTGAAACATTAAATAGAGATTTAAACAATGTTGCAAATTGGCTGTCCGCAAACAAATTAACTATGAACAACAGCAAAACCGAATATATGATAATTGGTTCCAAGAAAAGGCTTAGTCAAGTGACTGCCGATCCTGCTATCAGTGTAGGTAACTTAGAAATTAAGAGAGTCTTGACTGGACCGCGCAGGTCAAACACATTTCAAAAAAGGTCACCCCAGACCTTACTATTCTCAGACGGGATACAGTCGAATTCAATACCTTAATAATAATATACAAATCCATAATTCAACCTTATTTCGATTATTGTGGTCAAGTGTGGGGTTGCTTAGGGAAAACATTAACAGCTAAAGTTCAAAAATTACAAAACAGAGCGTTTCGAATAAGGTCGAATAATCACTCGTGAGAATAATACGACACGATCAGCTGATATATTAAACAAGCTAGGAGTTCCGAACCTCGAAAAAAGAAGAATGCAACAACTTTCAATTCTCATGTACAAGGAGAAAAACAAATTGGTCCCCGATTACTTGTTTGTAATGTACACGTGTGGGTGATGTACACAACCATAACACAAGACAGTCTGAAGCCGATTTGACATTGCGTAAACCAAAAACAAATAGTATGAAAAATGCATTCTCCTACAGAGGTGCGGAAGTCTGGAACTGCCTTTCTGCATCGGCAAAAGCTTCAACAACTATTGCTAATTTTAAGTCTAACTTGAAGCATGCAAATAAACATCAAGTGATTCTGCCATTGTTTCTATCTACTTAAAATAATTTCCATGTAATTATTTCTTATTTCTGCTTGTGTGAGCACGGCCGGTTGGAAGATCACCTTTTTTTTCTTTTTACATTTTGTACATAATTAATTTTAGTAAAGGTGAAATTGTACCGTGTTGAAATATAGTTCATAATATTAATAATAATAATAATGGAAACTTTTTATTAGATATTTACGATATACTATAATTATATACATTGATAAACCTCACTTAATAAAAGGTAGCTTATCGATGTCCACTTGAATTGAGTTTAAAGCTAAAATATATATATATACAGGTGAAAATCTTTTAAATTTAGTTAAAAGTTTAAAAGTTCTGGGTTGTTCCAGTCTTTGTTTCGTCTACAGAATATATAATACGACGTGCAAATACAAGTAGCAATTATTTTCTTTTTTACATATTTAATACATTGTTCATTGATCATGGAGCATATCAAATAAAGTATTCGTCGATTCACCAAATACACCTAAAGAGCTTATAGATACATTAACAAACTTAACTTCATCATATATATTTTCTTGATCGGTAATTAGAGTAAAAAATTTTTCATGTTTTCGATCTGAGTTAGTTTTCAGGTTTGTTTCGAATCCAACAGTTAATTCTAGAATGTACAAAATCTTATTTTCAATTGTCAATAGAAGGTCTGGTCGTAACTTGTCACCAGTGATGACAGATGGGCTAATAAATCCAGGCAGATCTACATACATTTTGGACCTTCCGACGTCGAGAAGGCTGGACACAATGAGATTCAAAACTGAATCATGTCGCCATGTATATCTCCCTTCGTTTAGATATGTCTTAAATCCAGAGATTATGTGCAAAAGCGATTCAGGGCAGAAGCAGAACGAACAGTCAGCAGATGACGACAGTCCCCATTTAACTAGGTTTTTCCTAGTAGGCAAAGGCCTATTATTATTATATAGGTTTTTCCTAGTAGGCCTATTATTATTATTATTATTATTATTATTAAATAATAATAATAAAAATAATAATAATCTATATTACTGTATGCACTCAAAACGAAATAAATATCTTGAGAAATCCATGCATTAACCATGGATTAAAACAATATCCATATCATGTATTAAAGTTGTATCTTTTTAAACTGTCGTATTGCATAAACCAGCTATCTCTAAAACGGGGAATGAATGAACTGGGAATATCGGGGAATGGGGGAATATCTTTAAAGATCTATAAAAGGGGGAATATCGAGGAACATCTAAATTAAAGACCAACGTTTTTATCAATTTTTTATGACAAGAAAAGTCGATATTTGTTATAATATCTTTTTGATAATAGTTAGGTTTATAAACATTAAAAAATGATATTTTTTATTGACATTAGGGCCATATATACGGGACAAAATAAGACGCGACTTACATAAGACGCGACTTAAGTAAGACGCGAGTTTGTCGTATAAAAGGTACAAAATTTTTATGTAAAACTCCGCTTATTTAAGTCGCGTCTTATTTAAGTCGCGTCTTATTTAAGTCGTGACTTATTTTGTCCCGTATAAATGGCCCTATTGTTTTTATAGCAAACAAAACGCTAAGCTTGCGATATGTTAACTGAGTATATTTACAAATATCAAACATCCAAATAGTTTAGAGATCTTTTCAGCTACATCATTCAAAAATACATTATTTCCATTACAGTAACACCTTTAAATCGGGTTGGGATAAAACGCGGATACGGACGAACGGATGGATGGCGGACGGACGGCTTTCAAAAAACGTTTTCAGCCTTTTTTAGTCATATCCGCATTTTATCCCAAAGGATAAAACGCGGATATGGTTCAGAAAACTTTTTCAGGCCTTTTTAAGTCATATCCGCGCTTCATCCAAAAAGATAAAATGCGGATTTTGTCCAAAAAACTTTTTCAGCCCTTTTTAAGTCGTATCCGAGTTTTATCCAAAAGGATAAAACGCGGATATGGTCAAAAGAACGTTTCATAAGGGCATATCTATATGTATAAAGAATATTGAATATTGTCCTATAATTTGAACAAATAAAAATCAATGTCTCTTCGCTTATATACTCACTGCGATGCGCTACAATTCCCGTTAAGATATGAAAATTGCCGTATGGCCTACATTTACGCAAACGCAAAATTACAATTACAACTTTCGTGCTTAATTTTCTATGTTATCTGGGTGGTATGTAGTAATCTATTAATGCTATGCCAATCTAAGGTGCTTTTTTTCAAGGGCTTTTTAATGCAGTTATTGGTTTAAATATACCTAAAATTCCCGTTAAAATATGACAATTTCTGTGCGGCCTATACTTTTACGCCAACACGAATTACAATTGCCACTTTCAGGATTAATTTTCTGTTATCCGGCCGTGTAGTAATCTAACTTTATGCCACTTTGGCATATACATTGGCATAAAATGCATTTTAAATTAGATTACTACCCGGCCGGATAACAGAGAAAATTAATCATGAAAGTGGCAATTGTATTTCGGTGTCGTTTGCGTAAAGTAAGGCTGTACGGCAATTGTCTTATTTTTAGTGACTTTTAGATATATTTCAAGCGATAACTGCATTGAAAAGCCCTTGAAAAACAGCACATTACATTGGCATAAAATTAGATTACTACATGCCCAGATAACAGAGAAAATTATGAATGAAAGTTGCAATTGTAGCTAATTTGCGTTTGCGTAAAAGTAGGTCGTACGGAAATATCATATACGGTCATATCGTAACGGGAATTTTAGATATATTTAAACCGATAACTGCATTGAAAAGTCCTTGAAAAACAGAACAATATTCTTCATACATATAGATATGCCCTTATAAACACGCGGATATGACTTAAAAAGGGCTGAAAAACGTTTTCTGGGAAAAATCTCCGTGTTTTATCCTTTTGGATAAAACGCGGGTATGACTCAAAAAAGGTTGAAAAACGTTTTCTGGACCGCGTTTTATCCTTTTGGATAAAATGCGGATATGACTAAAAAAAGGCTGAAAAAGTTTTTTGCACCATATCCGCGAACGGGAACGCGGATATGGTCCAAAAAAGTTTTATGTTTTAAAAAGAGCTGAAAAATTTTTTTGGAAGCCGTCCGTCCGCCACGCACCTGTCCGTCCGCCATCCGTCCGTCCATATCCGCGTTTTATCCTAACCCCCTTTTAAATCACTCATTGTGTCAGGATATGTCAACATTCACTGTCACTCAAGTTTAACTCAGTATAAGTCGGCTTCAGACAAATATGAACAGTAGAAAACTTATATACCAAAATGACTGAAAATTTTTCAGTCTTCAAGTAAGAATTTTAAATTTGTTTCAGATTCTTCCTCATGCAGTCCTGCACTTTTTTCAATTTGGACATTAGACATGACTTTTTTTGCTTGAGTCGTGATAGTGACCCACTATCCGTATTCTTTCATTTCTCCATTCTTGACATATTTTCTTCTACATCAGTTATCTCATCTCTAAGCTCTTTAACTCTTTCCCAATTTTTGCATACTGTTTTCTTAGTATTAGGTGTTGCCTGATGTACCCCTGAGGCAAGTTTGGCATCCAATTCGTTTTGAAGTATAGTGGCTTTTTCCTTTCTCCAACGTTCGTTGATGCATTTTGCAATGTGTTCACGCGATAGGTTTGTTGACCGCGAGAGGTTTTTTGCCTCCTGGTTCCAAAACTCCCTCCTTTGTTTCTCGTACCCCACAGCTGTATCTACTTCTTGTTGACTATAAATCTTTATACCTTTCACCTCCCATGGTTTAGGATTCCGCAGAAATGAACTTATTGTCATTCGGGAGGGTTTAACTCCAACATGGCCTCGATCTTCTCGGGGCAACTCTGCCAACTCAATACTATCATCAGCAAAATGTTTCGAACATTCCGAGGTACTTTGCTCTTCTGAATCCATGCCGTCGGCTTCACACTCATAATTTGTTGATTCAAGGTTTTCATCATTTTCAGCAGCAATAGCTACTTTATGCGTTGTTTCACTGTGCACGTCTTCGCTTGCCCTGTGATCATCACTTAATATTTCCTGCGTTGATGGCTTTATACTGTTCTCTGATTCATGTCATATATTCCTATATATTGTATTAGTTAATTTAGTTATGTTATTGTTAAAAGATATATTTAGTTGATTAAAGTAAGTAGGAAATAACTTAGATTCCTCAGCCATGGGCTAGGATTATCTCATTGGAACAGTATTTTGTTAATGATAAGTTGTGAACGTCACCGGACGTATGTGTCACTTGCATGTAAATTAAGATAGTTAAAATGATTGTAAACTGATTGTTTTAGTCAGTTGGCCATTGCGGCACAGACTGAACGTTGCAACAAGGATTGTTTTTAAATATATATGGAAAGGTTGTGAAATGTGTGTTAGTTGATTCTGTGAGAACCAGCAGAGGAGTGAACTCCTCAACACATGGTCCTTCGAGCCGGATAGTTTGATTGTGGGATAGTTTGATTGTGCGATGGTTTGATTGTGAGATTGAAAAATGGACGATTTGAAAAGGAAAAAACGGACGTGCGGTGGACACCGTTCGTTCGTTAAGAAAACCCTGGGAGAGGTAAAAGGACTGCTTTCCAATCCTGAATTGGAAAGAGAGACGTTATATAATCGAAAGTCCTCCTTGAAGAGCAACTTGGTGTAATCCAAACGCTGGATAACGACATCTTAAAGGCTTTAGAAGACAAAGACGAGACCGAGGAAGCAGTTATTGCGAACGAGATCGAAGAGGCAGGAGTATTGAGGGCGGATATAAAAGCTGCCATACGATTGTTGGAAGAAGCCCTGCCGCAAAAGAATAGCGAAAGCGAAGCGAACAGTGAGGGGGCGAGCTTAAATGAAAGTACTGTATCCAGCAAGAAATCCGTTCGCGTGAGGTTACCGAAACTCGAATTGCGAAAGTTTGACGGGAAAATCGAGCGATGGCAAGAATTTTGGGATTCGTTTAAAAGCTCGGTGGATGAAAACCCTGATTTATCAGAGGTGGACAAGTTCTCGTATTTACGTGGACTATTAAAGGATCAGGCGAGAGATTGTATTTCTGGGTATGCTTTAACGTCAGCAAATTACAAGAGTGCAAAGGAACAACTACAGCAAAGATACGGGCGAAGCAACGTTATACAAAAGACGCATATAAGGGAATTACTGAAGCTTCAACCAGTCTACAGCGACCGAGACCCTTCGAGATTGCGAGCATTGTACGACGCGACAGAAACGCACCACCGTGGACTGAAAGCTCTTAACGTAGAACAGGAAAGTTACTCTTCAATTGTGGTGCCAGCTATAATAGACAAACTACCAGAAACTGTACGACTAAGCATTACGCGAGGAAAGAAACACGACGAATGGAATATGGACGATTTGTTGAGTGAACTGTTGAGTGAACTAGAATTGCGGGAAGAACACTGGACACCTAAACCACCACGAGCTGAAAACGGCAATGCCAAGGGTGATCTTCGAAGTGCGTCAGCCTTGATAGCCAAATCAGAAGAAGAAAGATGCGCTTATTGCTTGGGACGACACGCTCATGAGAGCTGTGATAAAGTAAGTAGTGTAAAAGATAGAAAATTAGTAGCACGTAGATATGGACGATGCTTTGCATGTTTAAGTAAAGGACATGTATCCAAGGACTGCCGTCGAAAAACTAATTGTAAAATATGTAGTAAGGGGGGCCACCATGTATCTCTTTGTGAATCCAAAGGGGAGGGAAATATTTCGGCCAGTAATGGAAGTCCAACAATGCATGTTCGATCCGAGAGTCGAGTGGTGTTGCAAACTGCGCAAGGCATACTGAAAGGTGCTCAAAATGCAGCACGAATTCGCGTGATGTTTGATACGGGGAGTCATAAGTCTTTCGTGACTTCCAAGGTCGTAAGGGCTGCGGGGTTGCCAGTAAAAAGGAAAGAATGGTTAGAAATTAGCACGTTTGGTAAAGCGATGAATGATTATAAGCTGCGAGATGTTTTTGACCTTGAGATTGCACCTTGCAAGGGGGGAGAAGCGGTTACTATAGAAGCGTATTGTGTTGGGCTATTGCTCAAGTTCGAAATGAGCATATTGAGTTGCGAAAGGGGGAAAATCCTCACTTACGGGGACTTTGGTTCTCGGATGTGTGTAAGAGCAGTGAAGTATTTGATGTAGACATTCTGGTTGGTTCGGATTTTCTTTGGTGCTTTCAGAGCGGTACTATAGTGCGTGGAAGAGCTCATGAGCCAGTGGCGGTTGAGACAACTTTAGGTTGGGTTCTTTCAGGGCAAGTCAAGGGGAAAGGTGAAGATGGCGCAAAAGCACAGGTAAGTTGTGTTAATATTATTAAAGAAGAGCATGTTTC